TGATTGCCATGCTTGCAGATATCAGGCCTTCCCTTCACAGGTCCTCTCCTTGATTAAACCCATGTTATCTTAACACACTGTGGACGCATAGCTCTGGTCGCATGCGGCATCTCAGGTGGATTTCTAGTACATTCTGGCCATAACGCCGAATTTCCGTGACGGTTTGCTTATCTGTTTGCCCAGCTCCCTGACTGCCAGGCCCCAAAGTTGTACTGGTTTATTGGAAATGGACAGCATTCACTGACAACGTCTTCGCTTGATTGCCGAACACCCCCGCCCTACGTTTTCCTCATCGTTATCCCTTTTCCTCCTGTTAACGGTAGATCCTTGCTCCAGGCGTCTCCTTTTTGCTGGTCTTGCTCTGTGCTTATTTTTCACGAGTTTGTATAGGCAGTAGGCAAAGTTATCGCTAAATCTACCTTTCTCCAATCTCCATTTCATTCGACTTTTCTTCCCAAGCATGTCAATGGCCTCCCTAATCTTCCACTTAGGAGTGATACCTTAACGTTTACAATAGTTTACAACAGGCGCTCTGCTCAGTGAAGCGGCAGTGTACGTCTTTCTAGGGCCTTGAGCAATAGCGCCTGTAGTGAAATGCACACTGGAACTGGAACTGAGTGAAATGGGTCAACAAGAAAGATAAGGAACCGATCTACGGGACCATGATGGAGATTGGCATAGAAGGTCTGAGTCGGGTTAGCAACTCTAAAGAGAGGGGGTCGGGGTGAGTAGCAAGTGTGATGAGGCCACACAAGATTTGCCACAAGAGGGCACACATTTTGACGAGTGGAATGTAACCAAATGAGAAGTTGTGATAGGGCGCAGTGGGAGAAGAGGTTAAAGAGTAGATAGATAGGCCAGGACAGAAAGAGGACTGATAGTTTAACCGTTTTCGGCAGATCGTTTGTCGAGGGATTGACTCCACTTGTCTCATTGACGAGTTCGTAGCTTGGTGCGGAGAATGGCAAAACTCACTGCTGATGCCGGCGAAACGTTTGAGAATGTACCAAGTCTACTGTCTAATGCTGGGAATCATGACAACTACTATGACAGACGACTTCGGACTAGGTGCGTTCTACTAATTCTCCCAGATGAACCTTATTTTGTTTAAAAGATGTTTAACCTTGTTTTCGCAACTTGGTCATATTGGTAGGAAGACTTAGATAAACACACCTAGTCCGGAGTCCATTCTATGCATGATCATTTCAAAAGTCGGACCGTGTACGTGGTACATTTCCAGACGTTTCGCCGGCATAGTCAGTGAGTCTCGCCATTCGTAGCACCAAATTACAACTCGTCAAAAGAGACAAGTGAAGCCGATCCTTTGACCAAACGTGTGCTAAACAGTTGTGGTTTCTCCCCTTCTGCCCTTATATTCACACATTTCCTATATCCTCCTATCATGCCTTCCCTGTCACAGTTTTTACCGAGCTTATTCTTAATGTAGTGTCGTGTGCTACTTCGAGCGGTATTTATGAAACCCTTCACACTCCACACTGTCGTTATCACACCCTTCACACTTGTGCTGTGAATGTTGACCAGCGTCTGTCATATTGTTACGTAGGCCCTTCCTGGGTCCTATCAAAGTCTCCCTCTTGCCCCGTAGAATCCCTCTGCTATCTCCCTCGTACATGTATTTCACTTGACCCCTGTCACACCCCATCAGTAGTCCAAATATTTGCTCGTAGATACTGCCGTTAAATGTAAACTGCGTGGTCCTTACTGTCAGGTTGATCAATCGTGTTAACGTTTCTTTCCGTATCCGTTTTGCCTCCAGCATGTCCTCTTCTTGCTCCAAAATCTCCAGCAAGGCGCTTACCACCTTCTCGCCTGAGATGTTAATGTACATCGAAACTCACCAACAGTTCTAACTCCACCACCAATGTTCTGGATCCTTTGAGAAAATTCATATGAATTCTTGACGGTATTCGAGAGTCTGTCATTTACCTTCTTGAGCTTCAAGCAAATGAATTTCGCTAGTTTATGCATTGCTCCATGCTTGTTGTTGACTATTAGTCTTTGCGGATTTCCTTTTTGAGTATCTTCGGTAGTCTGTAGGCTGTCGGTGATATTGCGCCATTTTCGATTAAAGATTTCATCCTCCATCTGTCTATTTCCCCATTATTATGCATTTCCTTGAGCATATTCTTCAGTGTGCCGTGGATCTTCGTGGTTGGGTCTTTGCTTAGTATTTGCTAAGTGTTCCGGTCGCCAAGGCTACTTTCCATTTTCTCCGTGTATTAGATCCGTGTAATGTATTGGACCGGAACACTTATCAAATAATAAGCAAGGATCAAACCACGAAGATCAACGGGACACTGAAGAATATGCTCAAGGAGATGCATAATAATGGGGAAATTGACAGATAGAGGAGGAAATCAGTAATAAAAAATGACGCAAGTCCACCAACAGCCTACGGACTACCGAAGATACACAAGGAAGGAAATCCTCTAAGATTAAGAGTCAACAACAAGGATACATAAAATTTGGTTGGTGGGGTCGGAACTGTTGGTGAGTTTCGATCTACGATCCATATACACAAACATCTCAGGCGAGAAAGCGGTAAGCGCATTGTTGGAGGTATTGGAGCGAGAAGAACACATGCTGGAGGCAGAACGGATACGGAAAGAATCGTTGACACGACTGATCAACGTGACAGTAAGGACCACATATTTCACATTTAACGACAGTATCTACGAGCAAATATTTGGACTACCGATGGGATTTCCACTCTCACCTCTTTTGGCAAATGTGCACATGGACAAGTTGGAAAGGGAATTCGTGAAGTCCCCACTGCAACCAAGAGCACTCATGCGATACTTGGATGACTACTTTGCACTTTAGTCACATGGAAAGGAAAATCTAAATGAATTCCTCAATTTTATTGACCAACTTGATGAAAGAGTTAAATTTACAATGGAGGTGGAGGAGGTTGAACGACTACCCTTTCTGCATATTGAAGTCATGCGCTCCAAAAGGACACTTATGAGGAGACTATAAAGAAAGGATTCATATGCGGGAATGATCCTTAATTTTCAGTCTCCCCATAATTACAAACTGAAGATGGAAATACTGAGGAGTTCGATCATCAGAAGCTTACGACTAACGGGCAATGAGTTCTGGGACGAGGAGTTGGACAACCTGACACAGAGTTGCCTTAGTAACGGATACCCCGGAACATTTATAGAAAAAAATGTAGAGATTATAGAGGGCCGATTTCAACTTAAATTTAATGAAAATCAGATCAGGAATCAGGTAGACAACCAAAAGTGAATTTGCCTGCCCTCATCACAACTGAGCCAACAATTCCGACCGTTACTTAGGCAATAGAACATCAGGGTGATAACAAAGGAGAAGAAAACACTTTTCATCAGTCTGCCGATTCAACACGAGAAGACTGATAAACTTGATTGTTTGGGAGTTTCTCGCATTGAATGCAGCAACTGTGAGCAGAAGTATATCAATGAAACAGGAAGAAAAATCGGCCTACGAATTCAGGAACATCAAAGACCCTGCAGGAATATGAATACGAAAAGATCCGAAATAGCGGAACACATTGCACGAACGAGGCGCGAAATCGACTGGAAATCGACCGAAAGGTTGGCTGCATGTGGTGAAAATACAAGAAAGCGCAAGATCCGAAAGGCCATCGAAATACTGACCGAGACAGATCTAATGAACAGGAGACTTGAGGAAGGCAGGATTGCGAAAACTTTTCATATTGCCTAAACAAACTCAGAGAAGACTA